TGTGTCTCTTCCTTTCCTTCCTCTCTCTCTCTCTCTCTCTTTCTCTCTCTATCTGTCTCTCTCTCTGTGTTTCTCTTCCGCTTGCTCTTCTCTCTCCTTCTCTTGCTTTCGCTCTTGCTCTCTCCCCTCCCCTCTCCCTCTCTCCCACTCACTCAGATCTCAGCGGTGATTTCGCTAGCGATTCTTCTTTGCGGTTATTATTATATCCGTAGGCTTTTCACGAGGGATTTTACACGACCCGGGTTCGACGTCGTTGATGCAAGCACAACTTTGCAGCAGCGGTTGATGTGTTTAGACGTGTTGATGTTTTTAAATGTGTTTTTGTGTGTTTTGATGTGTTTTAGACTGACTACACACGACACACGCGTCGGACGTGTGAGGACGCGCGGTGGATACTGTTTTCATGTTGGCGAGAGATAGATAGATAGAGAGAGAGAAAGAGAGAGAGAGAGAGGAGGAAGAAGTATTAATATATATCTATTATCATAATATGAATAATGAATAAATGTGCTGTGTAGACAACACAGGGTGATAAATGCTCATTGATGACTAATAATTTATAATTAATAATATATATATGTAATAAATAATAACTAAAGAGTATAGACACATTAGACTTGTAGTACTAGATTTCGTATTTATTGAGTATCTCATAGTCGATTGCAGCTTGTAGAATCGGGCATGAGAGTGCGTCGTGTGCGTCCGGCGTGCGTCAAAGTTGGGATCAAATCTTAAACGCGCTCGATTGTACGGTCCGATTTTTGGGGGTTGGGGGGGGGGATGGGTCAAAAGAGTTGGGATTGGAGCTGGGGGTCACAGGTAGATCACGAGGTGATAAAGAAGGTGGGAATTTTTTAATTGAGGTAATAGGGGGATGCAGATTGGGCACCAAATTAAATTCTCGACTAGGTTTTGTGATAGTCGGTGTTAGCATAGAAGAAATGGGTAGGGAAGCATCATGCGCGAAATTGGAGGTCCCAGGTGAAGGTCAATGGGCACAGGGCAGATTTTTGACATTTTCTGAGGACATGGTCTGACAGAGGTTGCAAAATTTTTTGTTTCAGGGCGTGACTACATTTTTTATGGGTTTATTGAAAAAACGCATGAATGTACTTTCCGCTGACATGGCAAAGAGTAAGTGTCATGATAACCGTTTGACCTCAAGAGGAGGGTTAACATGGATATTTGTTTCTGTTTGAAAGAATTATGACTTCCGGGTTATTTTGGGGGCCCCGCCGCTAGTTTTAAAAAAGGGAAAAATGCTATACATGCTGGATGTATGAAGGCTACAATGTCAAGTGAAATTTCAACAGCTAAATTTGGTTTTTGAGGAGAAGGTTTTATCGCTCCTTAATCGTATAATTTCTATGGCATTACTGTATGTCAGTGTGTTCATGTAACTTATGCCAACTGCAGTGGAATGTGTGGTGGATAAGTATGTGTAGTTTTTTTGCGGCCTGATTTAATTAGTTACAGGTGGCAGCTCTCTAATTACTTCGCGCCTGTAGGCTTGCGTAGGTAAATGGATGATGTGCTTACCTATTGTGTTTAGCAAATAGTTGTTGCTACTACGTAGATGGGAGCTTCTTTTAATGCTTAAGACACTTAAACGTACGCGCCATCTGGTGCAACGTTCATAAAGATCGCCAACGAACTTCTATGGAGAGGTTCCTGATTCATCCTGGTGCTTCGACTGGGTTTCGGACGCGTATGTGAAACATTTGGGCAAAGGGTTTACTTTGATCCCTCACCCAGCAGAGTCCGAGTAGAAGTGAGATGAGCGCTGTCGCCTCGCGGCAGCTTGTTTAGCTTATATTTTTATTGAAAGCGCTCTCGTTTTCTGATGCTAGTAATTGCTTCCATAGTTATAAGAGAAATCGCTGCTATCTGAGCTGCGCATGGTTGCGACGCAAAGATAAAATCGCGCGTTTTGTGGTTGTGAGCATGCTGAAGAGACATGTGTTTTCTTGAAAGCCTGCGAAATAAAAATAGTGACAACCTTATCCTATTTTTTATATTCTATTTTAGTCACCTTGAATCGTCTAAGATGAGTATTCGCCTGGGGGTGATCGGTGCGCGTCGTAGGCGTCACGTCGGTCGTCGCGTGTCACACATTTGGCTACGGTCAACGATACTCAAGAAGCGTTTGACCCAGGAGACATATTTTGCAAATTGGATAAAGTGTTTTACTGCCTATGGGAGTAGGTTTGAAGGCCTTTTTGTGGAGGCAGACGGTGCCAGTGACGTCTTTTGAGCGACTCATATTTTGGTCAAAATGTAATGGGCATAGTCAGTTGAGGTTCAACGGATTTTGCTCAATTCTGGTATGTGAATGAATAAGGACTGGTCCGCAAACATCACACGGGTTTTTATTATTTATTTTTAATTATGAAATATGAGGGTAGGATTTTGGCAAGTTTCACATATGCATTTTGCAAGTGTCTGGCCTACGGTCAACGACAATCAGATTGTATGCCAATAGATCTGAAACATTTATTTTCGCATCAAATATTACCAAGAGCTAATAATACCTATTATAATTAATAATTATTAGCTCTTGATATTACTCATATATCATCATTATCAAGAGTATATAATGGGAGATATGCTACATAATCTCTCATATGCTCTCTCATCTCTCTCTCTCGTCTCTCTCTCTCTCTCTCTCAGGGTTCTCTCGTCTCTCTCGTCTCATTCTAGTCCAGTCCTCGTCTCTTCTCCTCTTCGTCTTTCTTTATCTCTCTAGCTCTCTCTCTCATCGTTTTATCTAATCTATCTATCTTCTTTTCTCTCTATCTATAATATCTATTTATCTATCTCCTCTCTCTATCTATCTATCTCTGCTCTCTCTTCTCCTCCTCTCTCTCTTCTTCTCTCTCCTCTCTCTCTCTCTCTCATACTCTCGTCGTTCATCTATCTCTCTCTTTCTATCTCCTCTCTTCCTTCTCTCTCTCTCTTCTCCTCATCTAAATTAATCTTCTCGGCTCTTCTCGTCTTACTCTCTCGTC